CGGCTGGAGGCAGAAGTGCGCCGCCTATGTGCTGGCGCTGCGGCCCTGGAGCTTCAGCGCCTCGCTGACGCCCGTGGCGCTGGGCAGCGCCCTCGCTTACCGCGCCCAGGCCGCCCTGGACCCCGCGCGCCTGGTGGGTAGCGCCGGCGCCGTGCTGGCCGTGCACGGGGCCGGCAACCTGGTGAACACCTACTACGACTTCTCCAAGGGCATCGACCACAAGAAGAGCGACGACCGCACGCTGGTGGACCAGCTCCTGGAGCCGCGGGACGTGGTGCGCTTCGGCGTCGTCCTCTACACCCTGGGCTGTGTCTGCGCTGCCGGCCTCTACTTCTTGTCCCCGCTGCGGCTGGAGCACCTGGCCCTCATCTACTTCGGCGGGCTCTCCAGCTCCTTCCTCTACACCGGCGGTAAGGACCAGGGAGTGCGGGTGCCAGCTCAGGACCGACGGGAGTCCTGATGGCTTCCCGCAACGTTCACTGGCTGGGGGGGGCTGACAGCCTCCCCTCCAGTCTGCCACTGACCTCTGCAGCAGTGACGGCCTCTGCCGTCTCGCACGCATGGGCGGGTTGGGACTTTTGAACGGGGACACAGGTTCATAGATTCACAGATGTTTGGGTCAAAAGGGATGTTGGTAGGTCATCAAGTTCGACCCCCTGCCCCGGCAGGAGAGAGCGCTGCAGTCAGCCGACCCCAGCCAGGTGCTTGTCCAGTCTCCTCTCGAAGACCCCCAGGGTAGGGGAGAGCACCACCTCCCTTGGAAGCCCGTTCCAGATTGGGCTGGTGGTGCACGTGTAACATCACGCGTCTTTTTCCTTTTTGTGATGAGCTAGGAGCTTTCTTCATAGGCTGCGGGGCCTGGGGCTGGGTTGTTCGGTTTAAGATGGAAGCAAAAACAAATATAATTCCATAGTAGTGAGTTAAAAACAGTCCACAGGGCTGTGGAATAGGAGCTTCAGGACCAGGAGCAGCAAACAGGCAGCAGCATGGCAGGACAAAGGCTAGCTCCAGTAGTGGCACATCAAGACTATTAAAAAGAGAGAGTTGTTAACACTATGCAGTGAAGACTTTAGAAGGGATTGGGTAGATTATAATGAGCTATGAAGTTATTTGTCTCCCTCAGCACTCCCTGACTAGAAATGCTGCAGCCACTGCCAGGCAGTTAGTTGATTTTAAACTTTGGGTGGAGCAGGACTCAACAGGCACCAGAGCACCTCGCCTCCTCTAGATCTGCCCCTGATTACACTTCACGAACAAGTTGCTATGTGCTGAAACTTTAAGGAAATGAATGTGATATTTGAGTGCTTTCTAGAGGTGTGCTGATACATTGGTCCCATATCGGATTGGCACTGATATAAGGAAAATTGACAGTATTGGCAATTGGCTTTTTTTGGTTGATGTGGCCAGTAATGCCACTGATTAAATGCCCTGTGCATGCACACAGCCACAGCGCAGCACGCAGACAACCCAGAGCACAGTCCAGCAGTGTGGAGAGCAGCCGGGTCTGGCTGGTAAGTCTGTTGTGGAGGAGAGGGGGCAGATCGTGGCCCCTGCAGTGAGGGAGGGAGTGGGACAGGGGCTGCACAGTTGGGGTGGAGTGGAGCCATGAGCGGCTCATCCAGGTGGGGGTTGGGATCCCGCTGCTGCGTGCACCCTGGGAGGGCTTGGGAGCGTGTGCCCCCATATTTGTGCACAGGGAGTGGGCAGGCTGCCACTACGGGCTGGGGCAGCCTTGAGGGGCTGGGCTGGGCTGGGCTGCACTCAGGGTGGGCAGCGGCGATGCTGGGAGCAGTGCCTGGGGGTGCTACGGTGAATTTTGTGGTGGCTGCAGCCCCACCCCAGTGCCACCACTGCCTGCTCTGAGTGCAGCCTGGCCCAGCCCCACAAGGCCACCCCAGCCCCAGCCTATAGTGGCAGCCTGTCCACTCCCTGTGCACGGATCTGGGAGCACACGCCCCCTGTGCCATCTTGGGGTGCTTGCCTGCTCTGCCCCGGCTGTGTAGCACCTGCCCCAGCCCCACTCCCTCCCTCACCGCGGGGGCCTCGATCTGCCCCCCCACACCCCTTCACTCCCCTCTCACCTCTTTCCCCACAACAGACTGACCAGCCAGGTGCCACTCTCCATGCTGCCCAGCTGCATATAAGAATTGGATTGGTATTGGCCGATGTGGCCTGTTTTAAAAATTGGTCATCGGTATCAGCCTAAAAATTCTTTATTGGTACATCCCTAGTGCTTACCCTGGAGAGTGGCACTGAAGAAGGGCTGTTGTGCCTCCCTGTGGCTTCTGACCCCTGTTCACCACAAACCAGGGACATGAATGATGGCTGATGTGGCAGAAGGCCACCTCAGTTTTTCCCCAAAAACTCTGCTCTGTGATGATTTGGTTAGGATGGGCCCAGCAGAGGATACACACCTTACCCTATCTCTTTAGGTAACCTAAGCTGGATACATTCCTGAGGAAGGGGGGAAACCTGCTCCCTCTGCCTACGTGACTGGCATCACATACCTGGGTGAGGGGCCTGGGCACCCTGGTGAGCTAGAGACTGCCAGTCTGCCCAGCAACTTGGGATGCATTTTAAATTGGTTGGCTGACAGCCAACAGGTGCTGGCCTCCATTGGATCAGGTAGACGAGATCATAAGGGCTATATAAGTTAAGGACTGGCCAGGAGGAAGGGGCAGCAGCCATGAAGAAAACTCAAAGAGGGAGAGAGAGGAGCTAGACCATCTAAAACTGGCTTGCTCGCTCTGTCTCAAAACTCGTGATCAATGAACTGCCTGCCTCTAGAGGGAATCTCCACCTGCCTCTGGATGATACTTGCGAGTAAGCTACCTGAGATCTAACTAGATATATAGCTTACAGTAACTCAGATGCGTGATCAAAGGCTACCCCAGCCACCCTGTTTGCTCAATGGGATTTCTCTGATACTACTCAACTCTGTACCCTATTCCAACCCTACCCCTTGTAACCAATAAAGTTCTCCTTTGTACCTAGCGTGGGAGACTTACTGGAAGTGGGTCTAGATTGTGCCTTGGGGTCCCCTTGGTTTGGCTGGCTAAGGGAGACCACTACTTGTGCGTCTGACTGAGGGAAGCACCCCAAGCTCCTGAAGTGAGTCAAGTACCCTTGAGGGCTATTAGGCCTGTGTTTCCCAGGGGGTGCAGAGCCAGAATCAAGCCCATCCCTGGGTGGTGGCAGTTCTACTCCCAGGCTAGCGGGTGTGCTCCAGGAAGGGGGTAGGCCAGACGTGAGGCACCCAGAGCCTGGAATGTGATCGGGCACACTGAGGTGGGTGGCTCAGCGCAGGAGCACTCCCTACTGGTCCGCCATAGCTGAAATTTATACTTCCAGTTCTTGTTATCTCTATTCTCTTCTCCATGGGTAGAGCCTGGAATGTTTTAACTGACTCTTTTCCTCATGTATCTGCCAGGTCCAGTTTCAAGTGAAAAAGTACATTTAGAAGTTAAAGCCAAGTTTTGTACATGATGGGTGTGGGAGGAGGGATGACACTGTAGATATGTGCCAGGACAAACAGTTCTGTAATCTTTTCTTTTCCTAGACAGGAGATAGTCTTTTGCTCTAGGAAAGATTAAACAATTTCTGATACCATCTAAAATATCTAGCAGCCTTTTGTTCACCTCACTGTTGCACCTGTTTCTTCAGGGTCAGATTCTTTTGTCCAATTTCAGACTGGATAGCACCTTATTCCGGTTGAATTCACTGGGACTGGTTGTGGAATTTAGGATATTTTTGGTGGGAAGGAAGGTTACAGATTCTGTCCCTAAATCTTTTGCTTATGTGTGGAGCTAGGTGTAATTCAGAAACTGCATTTCCAGTATTAATTTTGGAACAGGAAGAGAGAGCAGATTTTTCCCAGGTATTAGAGAGAAGTTGGATATCTAAGGCAATAAGAGCCCATGCTGTCCAGACCTACCTGTGTTCATGCTGACTATTTTGCAGCAATTCTCTAGGAGCTGCTGTACAGTTTGAGTAAGTTCTCCAGAACATGCGTTTCACTTCATGACTCCTTATCCTCCTCTTGCTTTTGTGTCTTGCCACAGGAATTGGATTTAAATACGTTGCTCTTGGAGACTTGGTGATCCTCATCACCTTTGGGCCCCTGGCAGTCATGTTTGCTCATGCTGTGCAGGTTGGTTACCTATCTGTCTCGCCATTGCTCTATGCTATCCCACTAGCTCTCAGCACTGAAGCGATCCTGCACAGCAACAACACGCGGGACATGGAGTCTGACCGACAGGCGGGCATTGTCACCCTGGCCATCCTCATTGGCCCCACGTTCTCCTACATGCTCTACAGCATCCTCCTCTTCCTTCCCTATTTGATCTTCTGCGTTTTGGCCACACGCTACACCATCAGCATGGCATTGCCACTACTCACCATTCCCATGGCATTCTCTCTGGAGAGGCAATTTCGGAGCCAGAACTTCAACAAAATTCCCCAGCGGACAGCCAAGCTGAACCTCCTGCTTGGGCTCTTCTACGTTTTTGGCATCGTGCTGGCCCCAGCAGGCACGCTGCCCAAACTGTAGCAGTGTGGGATGCTGCAGAAACAGGCCCTGTGACTCAGTATTAATGCCAGAGTCCACAGTGCCACGTGACAGGTTTGTTATGGATGCATATGGCATGATGACTTTTTCAAGCCAACGATTGTATCGAAGGGGAGGAGAGTAATGCAGCACTTTCTGTAGTGAAAGCAGCTGCCAGATGCTTCTGTTATGCCTATGTCACTGCCACACACCTGCTCCTGCTTATCCCCCTCAGTGATAAGCTTTCATCTTCTTCACCTAATATTCATGTTTTTTTCTCATGCCAAATCCCTGAGCTTCCCCTCCCCAGCCCTATGGTTATATGACATGGAGTGTGGGCTGTCTATCCAAATTGATAGCCGATGGGAGCCATTGTGTTCTGGAGCTTTCCTCTACTAGCTTTCCTGCCTAGGAATATCCATGGTACCCACCACTGTAGCACAGAGGTACTGAAATGGAACACAACTCCATTGTTGCACTGAGCTTTTAGCCAAAAGCAATGAACTTTTTATCTCCTTTTGCAGAACTAGAAGCTGGGGTTGCAAATCCAGAGCTCCCAGCCCTGGCTAGATTGGAAAGTTATGTTCCTTGCCATTATGCTTGCCCCGCGCTCCAAACTCAGTGTGCCCAGGTGAAAGGATTGTGATATTAAAGGTGTCAGACAAGGTGGTAAAAGTGGAGAGGCAGCTGGATATTGATGAGCAGACTTGCAAGCTGACCTAACTTAACTAAGTCTCTAGTAGCAAAATATTTCCTAGCTGTCATTCTTTGAATCTGTTGTTTAAGGCCCCAGAATATTGCACTAATCCTATTGTATTGGGGCAATGAAGAAGAAAGGTGGGGCCTTATCAGGAAGGAGTCTAAATAATTTCCATGCCCTTGCCCTGAAACTTGGGAATGAGAGACGGATTTATATTCTTGCTGATCAGGGTTTCAGTCAAAATCCTGCTTATGTGATGTGTTGGTCAGCTCTGAAGTTCCAGTCCCTCTTCTTCCCTCCTGTGAAGATGTGCTCAGTGGTGTTGTTTTTTCCTCTGTCTTGCAGGTCCTGCCACTCAACAGCTAACAGCCCTCTGTCCAGAAGCAGTTCTTGACTCCACAGCATTGTGAAAAATGCACAGGGCCAAACACAGCTGTGGAGAAATGCCACTGATTTCAGTGGAGTCCCAGGAGGGCATGAATTTGACCCAAATGATTCATATTTTCAGTGGCCACTAAATCCTTTTCTGTACTGGGGAGGAACCATTGGGTGTCTGTTTTTAAAAGGGAGCATCTAGGACTGCTGGCGATGCTGAAGTTGGATTGATGTGGACGTGGATATTGCACTGGAGCATTTGGTGCACAGAACACAATTTGTCCTTGAGCCAAAGGGCAGTATGCTAACTTCAGAGCCAAAAAGTCCATTAGGGATTGCAGTATTGTTCCAGATCTACCCTGGGTGTGTCAATTCCTCACTTTAATCCCCTAAGAACAATGGGTGCTGCATGTATTGAAGATGTAATGGTATGGCTGAAGTGGAGCTACCCAAGGAGATGTGAGCTCTCTGATCTCGAAGTCTATTCACGTGGCTTTTAATGATGTGGCTGCTGACTGTTTGCTTTGCTTTTGGGCTCTGTGATTTTAATCAAAATGAGTCTCAGCAGGCAGATGACAGTTCTCATCAGCTCTGGGTCACTTCTGATTAAAATTGGGCAATGTCTTGACCAGATCTTATCTATAGGCTGCCCAGGAAAAACAAGAAAGCAGAACAGACTTGAGTGATCTGTGTGCTACTTTTAACAGCAGAGAACATTGCTTAGGCTAGAAACACATTCAGAAGATGAGACCAAATTGAGTAGAGACCAGCATCCAGCAACCCTTAGAAAACATTTCCACAGCGAATATATGCTCAGCAACACTCAGTTTTCCTTATTGGTCAGAGACACCTTGGCCTCCTGCCAGCAAATGCTCTTCCAGGACTGTGGACTATTGCTGGTGGCCAAATTAAGCCTAGAGCTAAAGATAGCAACTTCCTTGTATAATTTGGAATGGTGGTTCCATCCCAGCATTGTAGTACATAGTTTGCAGGTCTCAGCAGCTACATGCTGTGCTGTTTTGTCTACAGTATCTAGCTCAATGCTAAATTGGGATTGATGAAAAGCTTTTATTTCTATTTCCAGTGGTTGCCTCTAGTTTTGTCGCTTATAGCACTGGAATGTGAATGAGTTGTTTGCCGGCTTTTGTAGTGGTGAAGAGCAAACGGTCTTGGAAGGTGTCTTGGATGGAAGAGCCCCCACGACACTCTAGTCCTGTAGAGGATCTCCTCTATGCCTTCTTGCTACTGGGAAAGACCAACACTACATAGTTTCAAAATGGGTGCAAAAGATTACTTGTGCTCCTTTATGTATAGGTAGCACTATTTTCCGGCAAGCTGCTTACAAGTGCAGGGATGAGAGGAATTGAGGTGTGGCCTACATTGCTTCCAGTTTTGAGTTTGTATGCTTACCCAGCAAACATTGGAGAGCCCCTGTTCCCTTAACATAAGTAGATCTCTTTCCTTGGACCACCTGAATTCTAGTTCTGAGCCTCTTGTAGCCTTAGGGGAGACATTTCAGATCTCCCTACCTCTTTCCATCCTTGCAATAGAGCTGCCTTTGCCTGCTCACAGGGATGTTTGGCTAACGTCATTATGAAGAGCTTTGAAGGTCAGAGGGTCTTCATCTCTGGGTATGGGGAAATATTTTGCGGGTAACTTGTTCCCCCACATGGACACGGAGGTCAGAATAGGAGGACCCGACTTGTAGGGTCTGAGCTGAATACACTGAAATGCTCCTAGTTTCCTTCCCTGGTTGTAGGCCTTGTAGCTTAGATCAAATCTTTGAGGCAGAATGTAGTGTCCTTTGAGTCTCTGCTGGTAGATGAGCAGGTATGTTTGCATGTTCATCTTTGTGCACTAAAATTCTCCTAGACCTCTCCTTTCCAGAGAACCGTTGGGCAAGGTGTCTCTGAGGCCTGGTCCACACTACAAAGAACTCAGGTAAATGTTGTGTTGCCAATGAGCTGTGGTTAATCTTTAAATTGCAGGGCATGGATCGGAGCGTTGCCCTGGGTCAAAGGGAATCTTGCACAATGCTCTTGGAAGTGCAGGTACTGAAGAGCACATATCTTGGATGTGCCTGAAAAGACACCGGAGGCCACTTGTGAGCTGGACAGCTATGTCCTCGTACATCGTGGGATAAGTAGTTCAAGAAGTGGACCTACTTTTGGGACATACTGTAACACATTTTTGGTACCTTCACCAATGAGAAGTCCCCTTTGATACACCGGGTTTCTATGCGGCATGCTGTTCAGCCCAAGCTGTTGTAATAATGAGACTTCAGTTCACTTTCTTAGTCTTTTTTTTTCTAAATAAAGACAGACTGACGTATGAACACCTGTGTGGTCTCCTGTTCCTCCTGCGTCACAGGCCTCTTTCCTAACTCACAGCTTTGTAGGTTGTCTTACTTGAGTCATATGGCCACTGGGGGCAGCATCCTCAGCATCTTTGCATGTGCCAAAACCAGGGCAAAGGATGAGCACAGAAACTTTGTGAAGCAGCTGGGCGTCTCCCATCTGCTCCTGTCTTACACCCAGTGTTGTGACCCTCGGGGCTAGCTCAGCATTAGTTCCACACTGTTAAAATGGATCTCCTAGGGTGTCGCTGACCCTATTGAAGCCTCTTGAAGTTGGTTTCTTCTGGGTCATTTGTGTTCAATTGTGGATGTTTCTCTTGAGGGCTGAGGTACCTGCTAAATCTATGTAAATGCCTGTAGCTGTGCTCTGTCTAGCAGGGAATAGTGTTGCCTATGGAACCATTAAGCAGGCCCAGGAAGGCTCCTTTTTTCCAGCTGTGCCCCATTTTTAATTGCTCAACTGCTGCTTGATGATGATCCTCTCCCCATGCAGTTTTGTTTTTGCCCTCTCATGCCCTCGAAAATGAATGCTCTGGCCTGCAATAAAGAGCTGCCAGGCAAGCTCTGCCACAGGTGGTGGCTTGTTATCCTTTCCTTTAGAAACTATTCCCTCTGAAGGCACATGCAACATCTTGCTCCCAGCTTGAACTAGAATTCTCAGCCCTTGATGTTGCACCCCTATGCTCTCCTCTCTTGAAGGGATGCGGTGGCAGCGTGGCAAAGGCATTGGCTTGAAGGTGCAAGTCTGAGTCTTGTTCCAGACTCCTGTTGAAGGCTGCTCCCCAGTCAGTACAGCTGAACACTGAGTACCTGATCATTTGGGCTGGGGAGCTGAACACAGCTGGTTGACTTCCTAGCCACATTGCACCTTCTGGACTGTTGGCTAAAGAAGCTGGTCTGCCTGAACCGTGCCAGCTTGACTCTCTTTTGACCCCTTCCCAAGCTTGGGCTAGTGTTTTGCTCACCTTTTAGTGCAAAAATGTCTGCCTTCCCTAATCGTCTCTGTTCATGACTGTAAGCCCCGTCTTGTGTATGAAAGTTAATAGGAATTTTATTTCTGATTTAGATCATATTTATACACAGGTTTTCACGCGCAGATTTGCACGAGCACCTAAATTTGGTTTTAAGGAGTCTTATCTCAGCTCATCTCAAATCTGTTCCCAGTGGTTAAAAATAAATGGGAGTAAGTTAATTTAAAACCAAGTTTCCTTGCACCGGTTTATCAAATTGGTTTAATATTGCACTTTTTATTGAGAGAGTGGAATTCTGAGTATAGATGAGTCCTGTTGGGCGCGGGCGGTGTATGGCTCCTGTATCTCACCAGTGGTTTCAATTTTCAGAGTGATTGTCAGGCAAACTAGTTTAATGGGACCTGCCTGAACACCTTACCCTTTTCACAGTGAATTGTGTTATGTGCAAGGCCAATGGCAAAAATAGTGATAAACATCCTTGATACTACTTGGGAGAGATCTAAGTGGCCTTTCAGGGACCCAGACTGAATGGAAAACGGGTAGAGAGCAAACCTGGTTCTTTGTTCCTCAGCCCTACCTATAAAAGGACCTATGTGTGCTTTGCATAGGTAAGCATGTGGCCGTCGCCACTGTAGAAGCAGTTAGATGCTGTACCAGCCCCTGCTGTTATGACTAGACCAGATACAGAGCACAAAAGGTGGGCTGGCCTGTGAGCTCAGTTGTACAAAGCCAATGGAGGCAAGAAGCACTTTTCAAAGACAGTGTTAGCAACTTCTCATCTGTTTCCTGGGCAGCCAGAAAGTGGTCCCTGAGGGCAGGACATGAATATCTGGAAGGGCTAGAGATTACGTGCGTCACTGGGCAAACTGTGACCATGGTGATAAGATGAGGTCCGAGGAGAACAGGAGTTAAGAAGCATGCTACCTTGTCTGCCAAGCATTTGCTTATTTTCCAGGGTTTTAATGCAAGTTAATTGACTTCCAGTTAACCTGAGCTTGCTAATGTGTCCTTGGGTACTAGTACGAGCAGTCAGTGATTGCTTCTGGGAGATGAGGCAAGATGGCAGCTTTAATCAGTGATTCTCAGCCAGGTTGCCACAGCACCCTGCAGTGCCTTGAGATCCTTTTAAGGGTGTTGCAGGATGCCACACAATGTTAGAACTGTTAGATGCGCAAGTATAATTCACAAGATAAACCCAGAGATTTCAAATAGGAATCAGTGGTGTTAAAAGCCTTCTGACCTGTTGTCTTTCTGAGTTTGTTGCAACAGAAGAATTGTTCTAGTTATTATTCTGTAGTCAAGGAATGACTAAAAACTAAGTTGGCTTTGTCCAAGGGGGGCTCTGAGTCTAAAAAGGTTGAGAACCCCTGCCATATAGACTTCAAATGAACATGGCTAACCACCTCTGCCTGGGAAACAGGCATTTGTGGGGAGGTGCAGGATCCAGTAGAAATGTACTGGCTAATTTGGGTTGTGGCAATTTAACTTGCTTTAAAATGCTTTGGTGCCATAGAGAAAACCTTCACACTTGCAATCTGCTGGGTTTGCAGGACTCAAGGAGAACAGTGTCCTGTGTGGAGTAATGAGGACAAATTAACTCTAGAATGAAGTCTTCCATCTCTGGGGGGCTGTTAAGGCCTCTGCACTGAGGCAGGATTGTCTGGGTGCATCTGAATGGATGCCCCCACTTACTACCCTTTATTTTAAACAGATCACATGCCAGTCTCCAATGAATGTCAAGGCCCTGGCACCTGCCTGTAAACTGCTCTGTTGTCAAACCCCGTGCCGATTGCTGGTAGCACCTTCAAGTAGAGATAAGCTGGATACACTGGAAAACTGCGAGAGCTTCCCATAATGAGGTGAATTTAATCCTTTAATTGAAACTCTTGCATCTACAGCTGGCATTCTCTGTTCTTTCAGAAGCGTGCAGTTCCACACACCCCATCAGATGTGTGTGCTGAGTCAGAGGGGTGTTTTAACATCCGTCATGTGTAGCTCGGGCTTGGAGTTTGGTTTTAGAGATGGCTTTACATCAAATCTGTTTACATTACTGGGCAAGAAGCCTCTATTTAATTATTGTTTTCTACAAAAAGTGAATTCTTATTGTTTGAGAGCCTTTATTGTTCCTAAAACTGAACTTTTAGAGAAAGGTAGGGGCTTGACTGTGTGTACACAAACTTGCAAAGAGCCAATAGGGATGATGGGTGGGTAATCAAGTCTGTTATCTCTCATCTCCATATACTGCTGTTAACAAGGATGTTATCTCTGGGGACAACAAACTCTCCTATGCCTGAAGGAGGGTGTTTGTGCCTGAAAGCTTGCAAAAAGCAATTTTTTCCAACTGTTTAGTTGGTCTAATAAGATATCACATCTACCCAAAGAACCTTGTCTGTCTATGATCTCTGGAGACACAAATCCATAGTTTGAAAACTG